TATTGCTATTCCTCACTGAGATCCAGCATAAAACAGCGACAGATCTGCATTGACTCCTGTAAGGAAACGTGCAAGTGAGTACCTGCACCTGACCTGACCACTGTGGAGGTGGAGAGATCCTGCATTTCAGCTCCCATCAGTCCTGACCTTCCTAAAACAGCAGCAAACTCTGCAGGGCTGGTTTGTTCTGTGAGAGCTGAAGTTCCAGGGACTTCAGGGAAGGGGAAACCTCTGTACTGATGCTCTCCCTCCTCCCTGCAGTGACACGCAGTACAAGATGACCATCTCCATGGCAGACTGGCCATCAGAAGCCTCTGAGGTAACCCTGATTCCTTGGTTTGGAAGAGACATTAATGGTTACCTGTTCCCAGCCACATGGACACTCACTATTGTCAAAGCTGCTGTCCAGGTCCCAGCACCTCTTTGCCAAATTCCACATTTTCCACACACAAACCAGCAGCAGAAACCAAGGTACAAGGTGGGAGGAGGGAGCTCCCCACAGCAGCTCCTCCACCCTGGGATTCTGCTCTAAGTGCCTGTGACAGCCCAAGGCTGAGCACCCCCCTTCCACACCATGTGCTGTGCAGGCAGGGGGGGCTTCTCACAGGGCAGGAGCACCCACCTCCCCCCTGTGGCACAGCCCACCCACTCAGGCCCACAGCACCCCCTCAGCTGCTCCCAGGGCTGGGGTTGTGTGGGACAGGAGGCAGCACCCCCGGGACTCCGTGCTCTTCGGGAGCACAGGATGCTGCTGCTCATTCTGAAGAGATTTTGTTTTTCTAGGACTGGATTTTCCATATTCTGTCTTATGAAAGGGATATGTCAACAAATGTGACTCTGGACAGGTGAGTGAAAGGAACAAGCACTTTATCTTCTGTGCTGAGCCTGTTAACATCAGACTGACACGAGCCTTGGCTCTGGGCCAGCGCAGCGTGTGCGAGAGCAGAGGGAGGACGAGGTTTGGCACATGTTCACCTGGGAGATGCAGAAAGCAGATCCAAAAGGCACTTCATGCACGTCCTCTGCTCTTCAGAGCTGCAAACCAGGCCAGGAAAACTCAAATGTGTTAAGTGAAATCAGCATTAAGGGCAGCTCCTATGTCATAACATTTATCCCTTCGTATTTATGTCTCAGTGTCTGTCCATCCCATGGTCAGGCTGGAGCAGAGGTGTGGGTCCTCCACAGCCCAGCTCCTCTCTGAGCTGGTTTTTTTTCCTTACAGGAATGGGATTATCAAGCTGAACATTTACTTCCAGGAATACAACTACCGCACCATCTCGGAGTCAGCTGCCACCACGGTGAGTGCCCGTCCCAGCCCTGCTGGCAGAGCAGGCACAGAGCCCAGTCAGCCAGGGCACACGGGCTGGGCTCAGCTCCCTGGGGCTGGTCAGCCCTGGCCAGAGATGCCCCTCAGCACCAGCCTGTCACACCCTTGGAGCTGCTGTCCCACACGTTTGCTGTAACCAAGAGGACAAAGTCGCCTCTGCCGGTCGCTCACAGCCCTCGGTTCCTTCCTCCCCTCCACCTCCCATCCCAGTCCCCAGCACTGGGGAGTCCAACCCGACAGGGCAGCACCCGCACAGCAGGGGATGTGGTGGGCAGGTCCCAGGGGCAGGGACATCGCCCATCTCGGCACCAGCACGGGGGGTGAAGGACTGGGGGGCAGATCGGGGACGGGGCTCCACCACCTTGGCTCACTCCGCTCTCCTCCCACAGATTGTCTGGCTGCTCTCAAGCCTCGGAGGCCAGTTTGGGTTCTGGATGGGCGGCTCAGTGCTGTGCCTCATTGAGTTCGGGGAGATCATCATTGACTCGCTGTGGATCACCATCATCCACGTCATCAGCTGGTGCAAAGGCCTGAAGCAGCGGCGGGCGCGGGCGCGGTACCCGGACACACCTCCCACGGTGTCGGAGCTGGTGGAGGCTCACACCAACCTGGGCTTCCAGCACGAAACTGGGGGTGCCCTGCCCAGGGATGAAGCTCTGCCCCCCGAACCCGGCACCCCCCCGCCCAACTATGACTCGCTGCGTGTGCAGCCCCTCGATGTCCTCGGTCCTGACAGCGACGGGGAGACCGAGGGAGCAGAGTGAGCAGAGGGAGCAGAGTGAGCAGAGGGAGCAGAGTGAGCAGAGTGAGCAGTGAGCAGTGAGCAGAGTGAGCAGATGGAGACCCAGTGAGCAGAGTGAGCAGAGTGAGCAGAGTGTCCTGTCACCTCCTGCAGCCACCGCCAGCCATCTGCCATCACCATGCTGGGTGTCACTCCCTGAGCAACCATCTACTCTCTGTCCAAGTTAGGAGGGAACTAAAAAGCCCTGGCTGTCCTCCCCCTTGACTGGTCACTGGGAGGAAGCTCTGCCTAATAAACCCTGCAATAAACCTCACAGAGTCAGGCTCTGGCTGAGTGTGTAGAGCTTGTGTATATCAGTGTTGCTGTAAAATCATTCACCACTTCTCATGAGCAGGTGGGTGGGAAGCAGTTCCCAGTGAGCAGAGTGGGGTGGTGGCAGCGGTGGAGGGGAGAGGACAGGACATCCTGACGGTGAATGCAAGGCCATGGCCTGGTAGATCACAGAACCACAGAAGGGTTTGGGTTGGAAGGGACCTTAAGGACCACCTCATTCCATCCCCCTCTCCAGCTCTCTTGGATGTAGAGACACGGCACAGTGTCTGTTGCAGCTGTGCCACACCCTTGGGATGGGACCAAAGCTACTTCTGGCCTCTGAGGTCCCAGTATTTCCATCCCCAAATAACTACAATGGAAACAGAGTGAAAGCTGAACCATCCCCTCACTGCTGGAGCCCGCACGGGTCCCACTGTGTTGCTGCCCAGGGTTTGTACCACTCGTGGTGCAGGTGGGAACAGCTGTCAGTGTGTGCCACGGACAGACTCCATAAAGATTCAGGGGTGGGGAGGAAGTGCCAGCCTGTTTCACAGTACCACCTTTCCAATAATAAAACAATTTAAAAGTTGCCTTTAGCTTCCCTGCTGGCAGCAGGGGCAGTCCAGCCCTGGCAAGAGGCTCATGGCAGCAGCTTGCAAGGAGGGGAACATACTGTGCTTGCCCCAAGGTGAGGGCACTGGGAGCTTTGGTGGTCCCCGTGGGCTGGGCTGAGTGGGGCAGCAAGCTCACCCAGCCCCTGGCCAGTCCCAGCCTCCGGCTTTCCCAGGAGCCCATCACGACCCACCAGGACCTGCCTTGCTGGAGTACTTTAGCAAAAGCTCAAGAGGAAACAGGATCGTGTGGTTCAATCACGCGCCCGGGCACACGATGTTCTGGGCACGGCGCCCAGCGTGGGGTGGCTGCAGCCAGGGGGGTCCCTGATCCCTCTGCACGGGGAGCTCCCCGAGCACGGGGGGCTCTGGGGCAGAGCTGCCGGGCACAGTGGGCCCAGGGTCCCTCCAGCCTCCCCTGGCAGCAGGGGAAGTGGTGGGTCCTGTTGCTGATGCCCACCAAGGCCAGGACAGAGGAGCTGGGGGACGATCTGACAGCTGAGGTGCCACCAGCACGGCTGGTGCTGCCCCACATGGGGGAATCCTGTGTTTAAAATTCACTAGGTCCAGTGTCAGGGAGCACCTCCTTAACACACCCAAACACTGCCCCAGCCCTTCCTTCCTCAGCTGGTTCTCACAGGGAGAAGGACCAACAGCCCCCAGACACACTGCTCTGTGTGAGCCACCTGAGCCAGGTACAGTGTGAGCTCAGTGAGCACCTAAACCAACCTGAGCAGTGCCAGGGCAGACGAGAGGCACTGAGGACACCTGTAAAGACAGAGGAATCCAGCTTTCTGTCTCCCTAAAGGGATGTTTCCCTGTCCACCACGAACCTGCAGCACAGCCTCCTTTGCCAAAGGAGAGCTCTTGTAACGTGATGGTACCAGATCTCACCTTGCAGTTGAGTGGGAAACAAGGAGCCAACACCCTCCCCTCCCGATTCAGTGCTCAGTGTACAGTGTCATCCTTGACCAAAACCAACACTCCCTCCAAAAACTCAGCAGAGCACTTCACTTAAAACATGGGGAATGCTGAGAGCAAGAACTGGGCATCTCCTCCCACATTCTCACCAACAGACAACAGGACCCTGGGATGGGAAGCAGGTCCCAGGATGTTCCTTCAGCTCCTCACACCTCCATCCCCAGCCAGGTGCCTGCCCTGGGCCACCTGCCCCACGAGAGGCAACAGCAGCAGGCAAGGAACAGCCCTAGAAACCCTCCCTGGCAGTGATGGGGCAGGGGAGGGGTGGGAGAGGCACGGCCGGCGAGATTCACCCTCCTCAAATCAAGGGTAAATGGAACAGAATGTTCTCTGCAGGACAGGGACAGCTCACCATTCCAGTCACTGCTGGTTTATGGAGGCGTCTGACAACTCATAAAAGTGGGAAGTGGCTCAGGTGCTCAGCTCCAGCTCTGTTCCAGCTGGACCCACGGCAGAGCTGAGCCCAGCTCAGCAAAGGGGTTTCCTGCTGCAGCAACAGTGCAGGCATTCCAATTTTGGGACCTCTCTGTATTCATTTGTCTCCTAAGAGAGCACACTGAGGCTAGATGAGATGTTTTATACACATCTATATAAGAAATGTTAATAAATTCTACAAGAAAGCCCCGCTTTCCTTAAATTCCTTACAAACTTCATGCCTTTCAGTAGAATTCTTGCACCAAGAACAACCTGCAAAGCTGGTTTTATTCTCAGGGTCAAGCTTGATCAAGCCTCGTCCACCAACTGAAGAGACTCTTCCTGGCTTTGCAATAACAACAGGCCTGAGCAATGGCCACTGCCTGCAGGCAGAGGAGCTCCCAGGCAGCCTCTCTGTGCTGCACCTACCCCATCATTTCAGATAGAACAGCTTGAATTCTCTGAAAAAGCCACCATGAAGCATGAACTCTCCAGCACACAGCAGAACACTTCCAGCACTGCTCGGCCTACTAAGAGCCATCCAGAGAGTTTCTGGTAAATTTGGCTGTAGGACACCTTTCCTCATTTCTAAAGACAGAAAAATGGAACAAGCTTTTCCTAGACAAAGACATTTATCAAAAGCTGTCTCAAATAAACTCCCCTGGTCTCCAGGGGTATTTTCACTGTCCTTTCAGAAATGAAAACCAGTGTGAAGAGGTGAGGCCTGGAGCAGGGGCTGGCAGGAGGGAGGGCACAGTTACCCCTCCAGGCCCCTGATGGCAGAGATGGAGGGCACAGTTACCCCTCCAGGCCCCTGATGGCAGCAATGGTGGGCACAGCTACCCCTCCAGGCCCCTGATGGCAGCGATGGTGCTGGCCAGGCGCCGGGGCAGGCTCTTGGCAGCCTGGCGGAACTCCTCTGGCCTGGCCTTCAGCAGGGTCACGATGTGCTGCAGGGTCCTCGAGGGCTGCAGCCCCAGGGCATCCATCACGTTGATCAGGTAATCTGCAAGGTTAGGGAAAAACGTGTATTTAACAGGTAACAGACACTGTGAAATGAAACATATCCTTGTTGTCCATGACACTGGGAATCCTGTCACAGAGCTCACACCTGCAGGCAGCAGCACTGGCTGCAGTCTCATGGCACTGCCTGGGTGTATTTCTGGCTCCTGTGCACCAGTTCAGACACTGCCTGTGCTGTGCAGGGCACTGAGACACGTTCTGCTGGGTTTCAGTACCTGCACACAACACCCTCGAGGTGCTCAGTCACCTGGGCACGGGAAGAGGATCAGAGCCCCACTGCCAAAGGCAAAGAGCTGGCACTGAGGCTGGGCAGCTCTGCTGAGTGAGTGTCTGTGGAGGCAGCAGGCAGTTCCAGCTCACTGATTTACAGGCAGCTGGGGAACTGAGGATGGCAGGGGGAATGCTGAGCAGCCAGCCTCTCATCCACTGGCTTGTTTTGAAGCAATGCCAGAATAATAAAAAAAAAAAAGAGATTCAGGCTGAGTTCACTGCTGTCCAAGCACACCTTCTGGAGAGCTGAGGAGCAGATACTGGCTGTATCCTCACTTTTGGGCTTGGCCAGGGGGAACTCAGCATCCATTATTTACAGTGAGAAAAGACTAACTGGCATTTACAACAGCTGTAGTGGTTCCTTGGTGGCCCTTTCAGCAGCTTTGGATAAGAAAAGCCCATCTCCTCCACATCCTGCAGAAATGTCTCCCCAGCACCCTCTGCCAGCCCTTCCTCACTCACTCTGTGTGGCACAGAAGGCGGCAGAGATGAGCCTGTGCCAACTCTCTCCCATTTTGCTGCTGAAAACCTCTAGAGGTTCAAAGTAACTTTAGCCCACAGCACCCTCAGAGCAGCAGGGCAGTGCCAGTCATGGCAGGAGAGCTGATCCTACAGGGTTTGTAAAAAAGGATGCTGCTCAAGTGCTCCATAATTACTTTTACAAGGCCTTTAGCTGATCTTCCCTACTTCAGCTATCAAGTGGATGGAAGAAATCAATCAGCTGCCTCCTCTGCAATCCAGCAGAGCACCCACAGCAGACTTGGCACGTGCTGTGTACCCCCTTCTGGCACATACTGGCAGAACATGGCACTCTGAGAAGGGGAAGACCAGGGCCACACTGCAAAAGATCCTCTACAGATCTTCCTTGCCCAGGCTGGCCTGCAAGAAGGACGTGGACTTCCACAGTCAGACAGACAAGTCAGTGAAGCAGCAGGAGTACCCAGGGCAAAATCCCCCTTCCCTTGAAGAGAGATGCGACATAAAACACTGCAAGAGAGGAGCTGTGACCCCTCCCTGTGCCGGGGATCAATGTGCTCATGGTCAGAGCAGAAACCCTCGGGGCAGTGCCCTCCAGCCCAGCGTGATGCCAGAGCAGCCCGTGTGTGACCCCAGCAGGGCCATGAGCAGCCCATGTGTGCCCCAGCAGGGCCATGAGCAGCCCCTGTGTGCCCCAGCAGGGCCATGAGCAGCCTGTGTGTGACCCTGGCAGGGCCATGAGCAGTCTGTGTGCCCCAGCAGGGCCATGAGCAGCCTGTGTGTGCCCCAGCAGGGCCATGAGCAGCCTGTGTGTGCCCCAGCAGGGCCATGAGCAGCCTGTGTGTGACCCCAGCAGGGCCATGAGCAGCTTGTGTGTGCCCCAGCAGGGCTGTGCTCACCGATGTCCGTGCCCAGCTGCTTGGTGGAGTGTGGGGTGAGCTGTGGGATCTGCAGGATGACCTCGCAGTACGTCTGCATGGTGGCCCTGGCGATGGAGCCCAGCCAATAATCAGCCATGTTATCCAGCTCGGGCAGCTCATCCCCTGCACAGACAACTCCTGTTAGTGCCAGCACACACCCTCCCCCTTCTCCTGCAGACAACCCTGTTAGTGCCAGCACTCACCCTCCCCCTTTGCTGGGTTTGTACAAAACAGAATCACAGCTGGTGAGTAACACCCGAACTGTTCTTTCCACAGGACATCAAGGTACTCAGAGTTTATCAGCTGATTTTGGAGCAATCAAAGCAGTTCTGTATCCTCCCTGTACTGTACAGCATTGATAGTGAGCTCGAGACCCAAAACACTTCCCCTCCCTTGATTGCTCTCCAGGTAAGTCACTTCCAAAGGGCACACGGATGATCAGCTGGGATCAGGGCACTGCCTGGCACATTTGGCAGGATCCTCTTCCAGGAGCAGTTTACAAACCACACATCACACCTGTGTAATGTCAGTATGGGAAAGCTTTCCCCAGACACTCCAAGCCTGTGGTCTCACCTTACCTTGCTCTGGGGGGTATGGCAGTTTTCCAGCATGTAGTGCCAGCTCCAAAGCAGAATCCTCTTGAGTGACAAATGGCTCAAGGTGCAGAGGAAGAGACATAATGTATTGCCCAATCTAGAATAAAAGCACCAAGAGCTGAGTCACTGAACAAATGTAAGGCAGGTCCTTTACTAGAGAAAAGAAGTCACCTGCAGTAAGGCACACCTGAGAGCAGAGCTGAGCCTGACAGCCACTCACTCACCCAGAAATTGGCTCCTGCGCATCATTACACTTGGTACAAGAAATAGTTTTTCACAAGGTCAGACAAGCAGTCACTGAATCACTCATGGTAAGAAAGACCTACACAGAGAACTGCAAGTCCAAGCAAATCTTTACTCTCCGGAGCATTCCTGGCAATTTGTTTTCTAGAGCAGAAAGTCAGTTCGGTTCTCTTACATTGCTGATATATTCCAGAGGGGTCAGGCTGAAGTTTGGCAGGTCCTCTGTCAGAGTCTCACCAATGCCACCAGAACTCCAGCCCTGTAAGGCAGAAAACACAGGATGAATCAATGATTTCCTGGAGCATGAATCCTGTCAGTATTTTAGGAAGGGGTCACCCAGCAACATGAACTGTGATTGCCCAAGGAATTCTGGAAAGAAGAACACAGGTGGTGAGAAAACTGTTTCCTGTGTCATCCCTCAGGCCCAAAACAGCCACCCTTCCCACCCAGCTCCCTGTGGGAAACACACCCTCACACAGTTAGAAAAGCAACACCTCAAACAAACACCAGAGCCTGCAAACATCTGTGAGCTGCAAAGGCTGTGGGCGAGGGGAGGGAAACTGTTCCACCGCCTGCAGCTTGTGGGAGAAATGTGACACCAGAGGGAACTGTTCTGAACAGGAGCAAGGAAAGCAGCACTGACCCAGGGGATCCCCCAGGTAAATCCTGTTCAGCCCCCCTTGCTCACCTCCATCTTGGGCACCAGCAGCAGCTGCTGTTTGATGCGCAGGAACACGGAGTCGAAGGCCAGCTGATGTGCCAGCTGGTTCAGGCGGCTCAGGGCGGCCCGGGACGATGCCAGCAGGTTGTGGTTGCTGGTACCTTTCTCCTGACACAGAGACACAAAAACATTTACACACAGAAGTCGTTAAAGTGACCACAGAGGAGCTGTGTTAACACTCTTACAGAGGTTTTATGAGGCCATCCTAATGCAGCAGAGCTCTCCTCTGAGATGGCACAGCCTGTTTCCCTTGGAATGACCTATCCCAAGCAGTTATTCAAGACACAAACTGCCACTGCTCCCTGAACTGTAAGGTAAAGAATCAGCATTCAGTGGGTTCTACACGAACTGTGGAACTGGACTGTTCAGCCAAGGTTTACACAACATGTAACACTGAAGGCACAACTGCAGAAGTTGCAAGTAAATCAAGCGCAGAAGAAATCAAAACATTTATAGGAAATAAAAGACTCATAACCTTGAATTCATTACTTCATGTGACCAACGATGGCAAACATAACTTAGATCCATGAGAAGATAACTGGAGTCATTCTACCCTGTTCACAGACCCGTGCATGAACGATCCTGCAGAATTGTTTCACACTGGACATGGCAGTGGCAGAGAAAGCCTCAGGAAGCTGCTGTGTGGGCTCCAGAATTTGAGATGGCTCCAACACAACCTTCCCAATGCTCACTGTGATAAAATCTCTGTCACCTGAGCTGATAAGGGCATGTTCACAAAACACAGCCCCGATCTGAGGAGAGATGGAACAAGTCCAGACTTCCTGGGCTTGGACACTTCATCTCTCCACGGATCAGTGTCTCTGTGGAAGACTTGGAATGCAGCCCATGGAAAGGCTGCAGTCCAGGATGAAAAGTCATTAGGCTGGAGGGGGAATCCAGGTCTCATCTACCAAATGTGGGCCCAAGAGCATGTTGTGATAGAGGCACCAGAGCTACCTTCAGAGTGTAAAGCGTTTCCATAAGACTGGCATACTCAGATGGATTCTCCTTCATCAGATAATTGTATTCCTGCCAGGGATTCTTCACAGAGCTCTTCTTTTCTGCAGAACTGGTGTCCTGAAAGCCAGAAAAACTACAAGGGCTGTAGGAGTCCGAGAGATACTTCCCAGCAGCTGATAAAATCCTGAAAACAAGTACACAAAAGTCACCAGCAGAATCCTCTGAACTCAGTGTTCCAGTCCTCACGCTGGCCCAAGGACCAGCACTGCCTTTGTGTGCCTGCAAGGGAGAGTATTCACTGGTGGAGACACCAATTACAGCCAACCCTCATGTCTGCTGTGCAGCTCAAAACCTGCAAAAATACGGAGACAGAAGAGAGAGGCTCGTGCTCTCAGCAGAGCTGGGCAGGGGGGCCAGGCCCAGCCCCTGGCACTGCAGGCTGTGCTGGGCAGAGCTGGGCACTCCAGTCACATCGAGCATTTCGAGGCACAACAGGCTGAGCACTGCTCACAACAAGCAGTAACAAAAGATCTACGTGCTGCCTGTGCCTGACACTGCTCAGGTTACAGGGAATCAATCCATCAGTTAAGGCACACCTAGACTCATTTCAGCACATGATTCACGCCCCGTGTCACAAGAGTGCAAATGTTGCCAATTTGATCTGCTGGAAAATTCCTTCCTGACCCCAATCTGGCCCGTTGGTGGCCAGCCAGGTGTCCAAGGAAAGGGATTTTTGGGACTGTCTCAGGGCACACGACTGAGTGGAACAGTCTGTGCCCCATCTCTGACATGATGAAGGATGGGGAGGGGCAGTGGGGGAATCAGTGGCTGTTTTCCCTCCGTGGTCTACGCAACCAAAGCACCCTGGGGTTTGTTTTCTTTAACTTGTTTTCTATGTTGACGGCTCATGAATTAAGGTCAGCAGTGCTCACCTGTTGGCCAGCTGCTGCTCAAAGTCTCCACACTGATGAAGGAGTTCACCACAAGTGGTAATTACCCTGGGAAAGAACAAGACAAAAAGACATGAGACTGGAGGCAGATAATTCCAGACTCCCCCAGAGTACCCATCTCAGACAGAGATCAAGTAATTGTGAAATGCAAAAACCAAACCACAGCCCACACATCTGCCAAGAGTCAATCTGGTGATTAACTCTGCACCCATTTGAAAACACACTGAATTTTTTTACTCAATAACCTCACCCACGTGCCACTTCTTGTCATCGTGGCAAAGGTCAGCTCAGTGTCACTGGGAAAAATTCTAAGAGCTGTTGATATCACAAGTGGTATGAGATGCAGCCTTGCTCCAGGCAGGGTGGGCAGCCCCACAGCCCTCCCTGTGCCAGGAGCAACCTGAACCCCATCACTGGCACTGGTGCTCCCAGCAGCACTGCAGCACAGGGAGCCCAGCCCTGGGTCTGCACTGAGGACTCGGGTGTAAACCCACCCCAAGCAATTCCCTTCCAGCTTTGGTACAAAACCCAGCTCTGAGCCAGGCAAAAGCAAAACCCCCTTTACCGGACAGAGTTCTGGAATGCAGTCCAGTCCTCCTGGAACAGGGAATCTGACAGGACATCATCCAGTTTACATTTCTTTCGTATAGACTGCAGTGTGTTTGTGAAGTCAGACGTGTACCTGTGTGAGAAATGGAGCAGAGAGAAGCACCAGCATAAGAGAACTGGTTGGAGAGCAGCACAATGGCATGTTCTGTGATTTGCTCAGCCAGTCCTCTACAAGGGCCATGTAAGAACAGAAATATTAAAAGGAGTAAAAAGGGACAGCGTGGTTCCAGTGCAAACAGGTGGATGTGAAGAACTGATCAGCCACAGCCCCCTTGAGCCTACACCAGAGGACAATGGAGCTACAGATACTGAGGCTGCCTCAATTTGCTACATGTGGATTACCAGCTCTCCTCTCCTGTGAGGAGAAGAGAGTAAGATATTTCTGTTACCATTACACTGACCATATCTCCTAGGAAAGACCAGGAAAAGTTTATGAGGCTCTTGCTACTCCAACATCACTTGGCCCTTACTCCAGGAACATGGTGACAACAATCTCATGAATTTGTTTTCTCAGCTACTCCCCAGATGAGAACACGGATAAAAAAGAGAACATTTTGTTTTCCACACACCCCCATTTTCTTTTTTAATAGTGCCCACGAGCTGGAGGCATGCACATTGCTCTGTAATTGCCTATAAAGAAGGTGAGATCAGAGACCTGTGCTTTCCTCTTCCCCCCTCCCACAGGGCAGTAATACCCAACTCATACCTTGTGAGCAACCCTTTCAGTATTCTGAAGGAATAAGGAGTTAATCAGTATGGGAATATGAAAGTGATACTTAAGGACAAGAACTTACAGTGAACCTCCCTGCCCGGATATCTCACAGGCAGATCCTGAATGTGAGGTCACTTGGCCCATTGAGTGTGTATTCAGAGAACCACAGATTCATTAAGGTTGGAAAAGACCTCCAAGATCATTGAGCCCAACCTCTGGACCTATTTCCCCAGAGAAATCTACTGAGATCTACTTTCATCACCCTATTTTGTCTTCATCTTATTCTGTTTTGGGAAACATTTTCTCCTCCAGAAGTATTTATTAAAAATGAAAACTCAGCCCAACCAGAATAGAAGACAGCTGAGAAGTCTTTAATTTAGTCATTAAAAGCTTCCATTTTCCCCTAGGAAACAGCCCCTGCCTGAATGGAGCAAGAAGGATATCGATGGTTCACAGTACAGTGAGAGACACCTTCTGCTCTCAGCCATCTTCCACAAACTACAAAGTCCTGGGCCACAAACTGCACCCTCACTACTCCCTCAGGATAAAAGCAGCAGTACCTAAAAGCACCTTACTTTGCAAACAGAGCCTTGAGGGCCTTCAGGAGCCCACACACTCCCAGGCCATCCGTGAGCTTGATGCAGTTGTCGATGGCTCCAGAGGCCAGAATGAAGAGTTTGTTGACTGAGTGGTTCAGCTCCTGGACACAGTCAATCACTTCCCAATGCTCCTAAACAACAACAACAACAACAACAAAGCTGAGCCTGACCCTTCTTGCAGGCATTAGAGAAGACCCCTTGTGTAACACAGCGTTCTCTGCTACCCTCCAATCTCGTGAAACCCCTAAAGCAGAACCCTGCTGTGCTTCCACCCCCCTGCACAGGGACTGTCACAGCAGCTGGGCTGCCAAACCAGGCCCTCAAGAGAAAACAGTTCTGCCAACAACAGAATCTTCTACAGAAAGGACTTCCCTTCTCCAGGCCCTATTCTTAATAAATTCAGTCAAACCCAAAGTAGGCTCTTGGTTGAGTGTTATCCTGGTAAAGGCTTTCCCCAGTTACAGGGCCTGTAACTGCTGCAGGAGAGGAAAGGAGCTGAACCTGACAGTGCTGCTGAAATTATCTTTATTTCTTAAACAAATCTACTCAGCAGTAAAAAATACACTGCAAAGAGGAAATATTTCCAAAAATGAGAGGAGGAAAGAGAGCAGTAACCATGACAAAGACCCCTGTATTCAGTGGAAGCTTCAGCCTCTCCCTCTGCAGCTGAGCAAAGGCTGGTACATTACCAAGGGCACTGCACTGATCTGGATGAGGAGATTCTCTTCTTCCAAGTCTCCATACTCAAGTTGGTAGGGCTTGTATGGACCATACACAGCTTCCACCAGCTCCATCACTTTCACCAGGTTCTGCTCCTCTACAAAGAACCAGACAAAGTTCAGTCTACAAAGAGATGAATGTGCCACTAAAAAACTGGTTTCAAGCTACCTGCAGCAGTTCTTCCATCAGAGCATTCTGCCTGCACAGGCTTGGAATGCTGCCCAACAGCTTCAATCTCAACTACACAGATTGCTTTTTTACTTTTTAAAAAACAAGGTTATTATCTCTATCTGCTTCCTAAACCCAAGATGCTCTACCTCAACGAGTGCCTCAAGAAAATCATCACTCACTGCTCCAGAACAGTCTGGGTGACAGAAATCTATCACACATTCCAACCTACAGCAGAAGAATTGAAACCATTGGAGAAGTGAGACACACTACTCTCACAGCATCAAACAGGGTGATCCTCATTTAACAGAAAGCCTGATTCACACTTAAATAACTGACACTGATCCAACTCACTCAGCACTGTTGCTGCAGTGTTCAGCAACCACAAACTCAGCATCTCAGTACCATGCTTGAGCAGGGGGCTGCAAACTCAAACACAAACCAGGGCTGAAGGATCATTTCTACACCAGAACTGGACACCAGCTGTTCTCATGAAGCTCTGCCCAATTCAAACCAGCAGCAAATCACAATTCCTTTGAATCCTGGATATCAGAGAAGACTTTTACACCCTAAGGACAGGAAGGTAATGGAGTAGGCTGTCCAAAGCCAGGGCTGTCTCCGTGCTTGGATATTTTCAAGACCAGACTGACAATATCCCATGATCTGACCTCACAGCAGATCCTGCTCGGAGCAGGGGATTGGGCAAGAGCATCTCCCAGGTTCCCTTCCAACCTGAATTAGCCTGTGAATCACAGCTGAATTCTCCCCTCATATACACACACAGGAACTGGTTTGACTCTGCTCAGCTGAGTCACCTGGCCCATCCATTCTTGAGATATTTCTCTTCCCAAACATCTTACCCCAGAGCAAAAGAGATGGAAATAAAGGCTTTAGGCTTTTATTTTTTAAACACAGTCAGATAGCAGTTCAGCAACTTGTCTTCCTATTCCATCATCTTATAGAATCTGGCATCATTTTTCCAGACCCTTTTTAATAATTTCTATGGTGACCCACAAATTGAGCTAGAAAATGGCTGATGAGTACAAACCACACAGACAACAAACACAGTACCAGTTACACTCCCTGACATTGCCCAGCAATCATAATTTACAGGATCTAGTAAGAATCTGGGTTTAAACAGCTCAAGACAATGTTATGAGGAACCAAACACAGGAACCACAGCATTAGGAATGCTCCATTAGCTTTAATTTTGGATTTTCCCATAGCCAGCCTTTGAAGAGGCCCCACCACATTCATAAAGGACTATAAATATCCAACAGGTCAAGTCAGGCATAAACCTGTGCAAACACAGCACCTCACTGCTGTGTGGTTTGTGGGAATTACTCAGCAAGTCAGGACCAAAATGAGATGACAAACATCCCAGGGAGAGGAGAACCCAGGGCAGCCCTGGAATCAAACACCGAGGATGCTGCTGGGAATAAACTACCAACAAAAAGCCTACAAAATCAAATACAAGCACCCAATGGATGCAGCCTTCAAGCAAGTTTTCTCTTGTTTAGTGAGGTGTGACAATTCCAGGAAACTCCTCAACTTTCTGCTCTGTGATCTCTTACAATGGGTCTCGCTGCCTCCCTGCAGACATTTCCTCATCTGTGAGACATAAGAAACAGCAAAGCTCATAAAAGGATAAGTGCTAAATACTATTTACCCTGCAGAGCCAGCCAGGACAGGGCTGCTTCAGGAAACTCAGTGTTGTGTCAACAGCTTCAGTGTCAGACACACACACACACACACACAAAGGTGGAACTGCCGCCCAGCTGGGCAGTGCTGCAGCAGAGATAATCCCTCCCTCCACCTAAAACTAAACAAAATCCCACAATGGGACTTCACAAAGGGGTTGACAGAACAGACTGACAGAATTCAGAGCCAGAGCCTTACTCAGGTTTGGCAGCATGGCCACCTCCAGCCCCCTGGCGAAGTGGACGGTGGCCTCGTGCAGCTCCAGCAGCTGGCTCAGCTTGGTGTCCTGGCCTGTCCTCTCCATGGCACTGCTGAGGCACACAGGGATGGAAGGCACCAGTGCTCCCAGAGTTTGGATCAACAGCACGGTCACAATGTCATGGGGATTCTTGAAAACCTGTGGCAGCAGAAAAGCTACTGGTGAAAGCACATTACCCCAGAGGAACACACAGCAGAGGGAGCAGCAGCTTCCCAACCTGAGAAACCTCCCAGGGGGGAAAAACCCTAAAGAGGTCTGCTAAGGCTACAAGAGCCCCACTGACATAGCACACAGGACAGACTGATGACAAAAGACCAGGACAATACCTGTGTACCATTGTGCTTTGAGTACAGCCACCAAGAAACTAGAAAACAGGCACAGGTCAAAAACTGAATTCAGCAGAACACAGGCACTACAGTGATTCAAAAACCACCTGGCAGAGAAAGGTATTTGAAACAGAGCACTCAGTTTACACAGGTGTGTTGGGAACAAACATGTATCAGTAATATATGAAGAAATAGTACTGCATCATGAGCCAAATTACTGGTCAAAGAGGCAGAAGTCAGTATTGGAAAGGCTAGAAAGCCTGTAATCAGCTGAGAATCAGCCACTTCACTGGCATAAAATGTGTTACAGCCCTTTATTATGAGTTTTTCATCAGCTGTTCTGCTCATTTGCTTTGAAAGCTGGGATCACCAAGAGTTTTTCAGAAAGCAGAAGCAAAAACAGGAGACTGAGTGACACAAACTCTGCCCCCACATGCCATTTCTCACAATCCCCAGTTCAAAAAGTATCTGCTAAAATGTAACCTGACATCTGACCTGTAAGTCACATCGAATCATTAAGCAGAAAAAATACATTTCAAGGGAACACTGAGCTCCTCTGCAGCACAGGCCTCGCACTGACACCGGCTTCGTGACACCGAGATAAGAATCTCTTACCCTTCATGGATGAAAAACTCTCACAGGCTCAGCAATATGAACTTATTTCTTCATTTCACTAAAGGACAGTAACTTTTTTTGATCCCACATTATTCTTGTCAGGAAAAACAAGAGCAGAGACTCCAAGTGGTGACAGCAGAAGCCATCAGATATCTCACAGAGAGTGACATGTATCAGTCCAACACAACCTTGAGGGCTTCCCCCAGGCCAACTGATAAAGCAACTCAGGCATTTCAAATGTCTTGCAACAGAACACATTTGCAACACCAACAAATTGGGTTTAACTTAAGATAGAGATGAAAGCGATAGAGCAGCTTTAATGGCAATAACACAGCAACCCTGCTGCTGGTGGGACAGCAGAGCTCAGACCCTGCCTGCAAGGGCTGCACGAGGAACAGAGAGAGGGCTGTCCCTCTGTGCACTGATAAGGCTCAGGGTGTCACTCAGAGTGAGCAGCCATCAGCTCTCTGGAGCTCTGTGAGAATTCAGGGTGTGCTCAGCCCTGTGCTCTCCCACCCCTGCCCAGCATTGACCTGTCACTGCACCTGTGCTGCCCACTGGAGCTGGCAGTGCCAGGTCCCCAGCAGGGTGTCGTACAGCTCCGTCAGCTGCCGGTGCAAGCTCAGCTCACTCTGGCAAAGCTCCTGCCACACGGCCACCAGCTGCACCTGCCAGGGAACAAGAACCATCTGAGAGGAGAATTCCAAATCCAGCACTCCCCAGGCACAGCCCTTCTGCCAAAACGTGAGGCCCACCCTGGCTCCTCTCCTCTCTCCAGATTTCAGTGTAACACATAATTCAGCACCACAGAAGGAAAAGACTTCCAGCATGAAGCTTGAGGTTTCTTAGTGATTCAAAGATTTAATTAACATTGGTATTTTACTCATAAAATGAGATTGTAACTGATAGTCCCACATAATAGTTGAAATACTTGGCAAGCCCCAGCCTTGAACTTAATCCTCAAAAGTCACAGTCATGTGAGAAATTTGAGGCTCATGTTATGGCTACAGAACTGTCTGGAATTCCAACTTTTAATCTTACCTGAAAAGAGTTTACAGAAGTCAGCAGATGGCAAGTTGCAGTAATGAAGTTACTGCTGACATAGCCACATCCACAGAAAGCAAAGCAAACCCATGTGGCACAGAGAAATCAAGCAGAACACACATATCTTGTGTCTGCTGCAGAAAGAGACACAAGGACCTGAACAGAGAATTACTCCTGAAACACGGGGAGTAACTAAAGCTGTTCAGAGCCAGAGAAGAGAACTCCAAAAGGAAGAGGTGCCACCTCCCTGCCACAGCAAAGGTGAGATCCGTGGGGCAGCAGCTCCCTCTGCAGTCAAAGCCCGGCAAGCATTGCAATTTTTATTCCTAAAATGTTAAAATACTACCAAAACACTCACCTTGTGACATTTATAATAATAAGCAAGAAGCTGCGGCATCCGGTCGATCTCCGTGAAAACTTTAACAAACGTTTTTGCCTGATCTAAACCAAAGAAAACAACAGGCAGTGAGGATCAGCCCCAAAGCTGAGGGAGAGACATCAGTCTGAGCAAGAATTCTTCTCCTAAGGGAGCATGTACAAAGACCTACACAGAAAGATACATTTCACCTCCTGTTTGCTTATCTTCTCAAACAGGAGAGAAACTGCCTAAAGCCCACCCTCAATCAAGAACAGGCAGCAGACAAGAGCAATTAATTTAACTTTTTAAAATTAATTTCTTAACCAGCACATGTACCTGGTATTAAAGTCAGATAAAGACAGAGCATTTCCTAGAAGGAAAATTTGTTTTCCAGAAACAAGGCACTACTTACAAACCTGGAGCATTCCTGACAAAGGCTTCAGGTTTGCTTTCACCTGCCTTCAAACTGCCCCCTGTGCCTTAGACTGACCCAGGGCACAGTGAGCTCCTGCACAGAGCTTGGAAACACAGGTTCCTAAATAGTGTGGTTTGTACCCCACAGCCCCAGATCCCCCTGGGACCTCGAGGTGCACACAGCTGAGAGTCAACAACCAGAAAAAGTACTTTTCAGAAGTGCTGACAGGAGCAGAGGGAAGGAAGAGCATAAAGAACAGTCCAAAAAGACTAGTTTCCTAAGCAGAGTTTATAAAGCCACTTTTATAAGGCAGCAAGGAGTCAGAACGTTTCCAAACAAACTTCCCTCCTGATTACACCACCCAGCTGTAACAGAAATGCCCAGCAGCACCAGGGTAACACAAAACCAGGGCTTGAAGAGGGGGCCTTCTGCTTACCTGAGAAGCACTTCCTACCTGGAGAGCATCCTTGACATAACTAAACTACAAGAGCAGGGCAGCCCTGCCTCAGCACCTCCATCTCAGGCTGCTGCAGAGCACAAAACATTCCAGGGCATCTGCTCCAGCAGGAAAGCTCCTGACCCAGCACCAGGAGCCTTCAGGACACCAACTCCCCACCCAAACACCGTCTCAAAGACAATAAACTCTATGTTGACAGTAAATGACACCAAGTGTTACTGACCTACAGACTGGGAGTTGAAAGCTGCCACAATCTGGGGGCTGGCCATGGCCTCCAGCCTGTTCTTCAGGGCCTCCAGGTGCACACACTTCTCCGAGTAATCCGGCGTGTCCACCAGCATGGCCAGGCTGCTCTGCATGCTCGTCAGCTTGGCCGAGATCAGGGACACGTCCTGCCAGCAGCAAAGGCACCTGTTACCAAGGGGGACCTCACACAGCACCAGCACCAGCTCCAGAACGACATTTCAAACAGCAACATGTTTGAGAGTCACTGCAAAAGCCGACTTTTAAATGCAGTTCACTGGAAAGCTGAAGGCACAAAGAGTAAACAGAATAATTCAGTGTTTACCTGTGTTTTAAGAGTCTCTTCAATGTCTGCACTTAACGTGCTCCATTTGTCTGCTTCCTGAAGCGACTCGGCAGCCAACTGCATTCTAGACTTCACTTGGTCAATCTCTACCAAGACCTGATGAAAAAACAACACTATGTTGCCCACTGAAAAAAGAGGTGACTGCCATGGATACTTATTTCAGCAGAGTTATTTTTGTCTTGGACTTAAAAAAAAATGGTATGAAAAGATTATGACGTTACAAAGAAGAAGGAATGGGCAGAAAGAACTTGAGATGCAAGAGGTGTAAAATAACTTTCAAAGTCAAACAACGAAAGGTTAGTTTAGGTTAGTTTGAATTCTGGTCTTGTACTTTTAGTATCCACTTTGCCTGAAGATGCTCTGCACCCCAGGCAGAAAGCAGTGTCCCCAGCCAGGGACCAGCAGCTCTGAACTGACACCTGAGCAGCTGTTCCTCAGGACATGCAGACTGCACAGGTCTGGGTCACATCCACCTTTCCACAAATTTTAAATTTCACAAGCTGCAGATAAACACTAAGAATCATAGAATATGCCAAGTTGGAAGGGACCCACAAGGACCATCGAGTCCAACCCTTAGCCCTGCACAGGACCATCCCCAAGAGTCACCCCCTGTGCCCCAGAGGATCATCCAAACGTTTTTTGAACTCTGGCAGCCTTGGTGCTGTGCCCACTGCCCTGGGGAGCCTGTTCAGTGCCCAGCCACCCTCTGGGGGAAGAATCTTTTTCTAATATCTAACCTATAAGAACTGACCTGCATCGACTGAGCTGTGTCTTCTTCAAACTTCTTTATATCTTCTTTAACAAGGATCATCTGCTCCTTCAGAAATGTTGCCTCCTGCTTCAAGACTTCCAGCTCCCGGAGGACTCTGGGCATGTTCTGGAGAGCCTGATGGCTCGTTTCTGCAGAAACACTGAGGAGTCAGTGAGGAGCCTGAGAGCCCTTGGAGGAATGGGGGAGTCTTTCAGTAATCTTATTTAATCTTCAATACTTGAAAAAAAAACAACACAACACAGCAAAACAGCAAACAACAAAACTTCAGCTGTACCTTTAAAGTTTAAATAGGTACTTCACCATGGAATCACAAAGCCCTCTGAGACCAGAGTCCAACTGCTCCCAACAGTTCAGTGCTGTTCCCCCAGCACTGCCAAGGCCACCACTAACCCGTGTCCCCAGGTACCAACCTACAGGAGGCTTTTAAATCCCTCCAGGGATGGTGACTCCACAACTGCCCTCACAGCCTGTGCCAGGACTGGACAAACCTTATGGGGAAGAAATTTTCCCTATTATCCCATCTAACCCAGCCCTGGCAGGGGCTGCTGTTTGTCAGCGCTTAGCACAGATGTGCTGCTGGATAATCCCGGGGCCCCAGATCGGTGTAAGGATCCTTCTGTCTCTGCCAAAGCCAGGCCCGGATCGCCTCGGGTCTCCCTGTCATCACCTCCTGTGCACCTCAGGAAGATCCAGGCACCAGGACACACAGACCTCAGCCCGACACATCCCCAGGCCAAGCAAAGCCCACCCCACCTTCCACGGCGTTGTTGACCTCCTGGATGAAGAGCTGCAGCTTCATCACCAGGGTGGCGGCGTGGGCGTCCACCTTGCCCGGGGCCTCCTGCTGCTGCTGCTGCTGCTGC